AAACCATGCCAATATTTCAAAATATAACATTAAAAAGTGTATAAATCACTCGTTTTTAACTAAAGAAACATTGTCCAACAGCGACACCAGCAGGTAAAGTTACAGCAGGAGTCCGCATCTCTCTCACCTCCCCTGAGCCCATTGAGTTTTAACAGACCAACTGGGGGGTAAATGGGTTGTGACTAGAAGGGATACAGCAAAAACCAGAAGCTAACAATAAATTGAATTTTCTACATATTAGATTGTGTTTTATTAACGTCTACACCTACCCCTTAGTATAATAATGCAAAAATATTAATAATTGTTGTACAGTGTGAGAAAAATTATGCTATATTGATGTGCGCATGCCCAGTAGTTTTTGCTGTATCCCTTCTAGCCTTAACCGGGTAAATGGGGGGAAAATCACGTGAGAGGAGGCAATGCCTCCATCACAATATGATTGGATCTGACTGGTTATGTTTGGCTGTGATTGGTTCATGCGATAAATCCTGCTTCTTGTTTTCATGTGCGCAGTCTGAATGAACAATATAAAGGCATTAATGGGCAGACTCATTAAAAAAATAACTCACAGTTAAATAACTCACAGACTTGGATATAATCACTTTGTTACGTCAAAATAAGACTTGAAATGGCCTGAAAACATGATATGTGGGAGTTTTTGTGAGTAAATCAGCTTGTTGAAATTTAAAGTAAATCTCTGTGTCTGTGACCAATATTCACCAAGCTTTGATGATTGATGATCCGAATAAGTAAAAAATAGTTAAAAGTTAACTATTAAAAAGAATAGCTGAACATAAATTCACAAATAAAATATATTGTTGAAATTGTTACTGCCTCGAATTATTATTTTGGAATAAATGTAAAATGCTTAAAAACGCTAACTTGATCAGATTTGTACTTGGCTTTAATAAACAGAATATTGATTACATTTTTAATGTAAAAATATAAAATGGAATTTTTTTTTTTTTTTTTTAGCAGCACATGCCCCTCAAAAGGTCTGTACACGGTCCTGACTGTGACTGATGATATCCATATCTGTTACAAAAAAAAACAAACATCTGCTTTCATACCCTTAATATCTAATCATGTTCAATCATTCTGATTTCATTGCATTTAGGTCACACTTAAATGTCTGAACGTCATTGCATTACATAATTAAATATCAAACACAAGTAGCAACTGTAAGCTTATGATGCTATCACTTGTTTTAAAACTAACTTCACTCTTTTATTTTTAACCTATAGTCTTACTTGGCTTTAAAAAAAAGAATATTGATTACATTTTTTAAGTAAAAAAATAAAAAGGGATTTTTTTTTTTTTTTTTTTAGCAGCACATGCCCCTCAAAAGGTCTGTACACGGTCCTGACTGTGACTGATGATATCCATATCTGTTACAAAAAAAAACAAACATCTGCTTTCATACCCTTAATATCTAATCATGTTCAATCATTCTGATTTCATTGCATTTAGGTCACACTTAAATGTCTGAACGTCATTGCATTACATAATTAAATATCAAACACAAGTAGCAACTGTAAGCTTATGATGCTATCACTTGTTTTAAAACTAACTTCACTCTTTTATTTTTAACCTATAGTCTTAATGTCCTTTCTACTGTTTGTATGAAGTCAGTTTTGCTTGAAGGAGTGTGTATGATATATTTCTTTATTACTTTGGTTTGGAATATAATGTAAAGCAGAAACATTCATTCATTACTTCCAAATATTTTGGAGGCGTCATGTCCTATTTGTGACCATCTGATCATATAGTTATTATCATGAAATAACTATAAAAAACTATAATAAAGCTAAAATTATTAAAAACATTTTAACATTATTAAAGCTGAAATAAGCTGAAATTAAATATCTAAATATTAAATTCAAAATTGTAACTATATAAAAAAACAGAAATATAGCCTTGGCTTTAAATTGGAGCACTAAAATACCATAACTGGAAATAAATAAACTAAAACTGAGCTAAAAAATAATACTGAAATAAAAGTAAATTAAACATAAATCAATGTTAAATAGAATTAAAACGACAGAAAATATAAAATAAAAGCTAATTCATAATATAAATAAAAACCATAATAGTATATAAATAATACTAAAAGAACACTGATCCATAATATGCTTATCTGGTGTCTGTGAGAGTCGGTGAGTATTAACTGATGTCACAAGCTGACGTCTTTACACATTATTATTTTTTTATTGTGACTCATACCTTGATGTTCCCAGCTGCCACAGTGATGGGGTTTCCCATTGCTCAATAAGATCAACAACCATGACCCACCATTCAAATTTAATTTAATTTTTTTTTCAGTTTGTTCCTGTTGCTGTATTTTGTAGTATTTTGGACCACGAGTTGCTTAAGGAATATAATGCTTTAATTTAAATCAACCAGGGCTTGGAGCATTTGAGTTTAGGCAGTCCACAACATGCCAGAGTGTGTGATTGAATAAGTCTAAAGGGCACAGGCAGGAGTGGTTGTGGTTGAGTCATATTTTTTGTGGGTCACATCCTGTGGATCTACCAGTGGCCTTCCTTAAGGCAAAGATAAAGAGAAAGAGATAGAAAGAAAAAGAGTCTGTGACAAATGAAATCTCACCCAAACCTCTGTTTCCTGTGCTGTAGCCACTCTCTCGCTCTCCTTTGTTCCTCTGATGTGGCCTCTCTTTCGGCCCAGGATGAGCACTAATGCACAAAATGTGTGGTGACAGGTCAAAGAAGGTCGTAGGCCACCTAACCCTCATTAATCTCTGTTTCACACAGTCAAAAGACATCCTGCTCAGTTAATGGCCTCATAAATGAGTCTTTTTTTTTTTGTAGAACAGTGGAATTTGTGTTGTATCAGTGATGTCTGCTCAGTTAGCTGTTGTGGAGCTGATATTAAAGAGGTGCAAAAGTGCATATTTTTAAAGTCTTCTAGTCAGTGGGTTGCCTGAAAGAGTAGTTTGATAACCTGACTTAAGGAAATCCTGTATAATAAGGTTGGTTGCAGTTTAACTGACCACAATTAGAAGTGTTTTTTTTAAGAGGGCTTTTACACAAGAGGAACAGATTTGATCAGAATGCAGGGTCTTGAAAGACGCTTGAACTATTTTACTTAAATGTAGCATTTTTTAGGAGTGCAAAACTAAAAATTAAAAGTAAGAAAACAATGTCAAACTAGTTTATTGAACGGCAAGTCAATTATTTTTATTTTATTTTATTATTTTGTTTTTTGGAAAAATTGTTGAAATTGTCACTGTGCCAGAAAATAACACTTTTTCTCATCCAAAACGAAATGTTGATGCTGACGGTGCATGGTGATCACTGGCTATGTATTTATTTATTTATTAATACATTTTAAAAAATGTAAAAATAAATAAATAAATAATGTTTAGCCACATAAAAGTTTTTAAAAAGTGTCTTTTTAGAATTGTATTTTATGTCTGGGAGAAATTGTAATTAATTTGTGCCACTGTTGTTGAAATAACTTATTTTTCCCATAATAAAATGTCCTAATTGAAAATGTATGGTGTTTAGCACGTTTAGTTAAATTTTTTTAAAAATTTTGCTAAATAGAAAAGCTATACTAATTTGACATTTAACATATAAGTCATTCATGCCTCTGGTTATATATAAATAGTTGCATGATGCCCCTGAGTTGACCACCATGACCCATCCTCAGTTGAGAGAAGGGATGTTATACTGCACACAGGAAACCAAATGCCTGTATTGGTGACCATGTGCTTTTAGGAGGAGTGTCCAGAGCTGTGGAGAGACTTCCCAGGCATGTTGTTAACAGATAGGAAAGAGGGATAGAGGGGAGGGACAGTGGGGAAAGGGAGGAGGGACAGGACGAGTAGGAGGGGACGTTTGGGTTGAAAGGGAGCAGCTCTCACAGTGTAACTGACTTGAGACTTTGAGGAGAGACTTTGGTTTGTTGTTTCTGGGCTATGAGATTTAGTAAAGGACAACTTCAGTGGATAATCTCTCATGGTATAGTAAGCTTGACTGCTTCGTGTTTTACAGTCTCATTTGAAGACTGTCAACTGTGTTTTGTTTTTGATGTTTGTCGGTTTCCTGCCTGCATGCAAGCCTCTGTGGTCATAGAAAGTCTGCAAACGGAATTACCAACGGCAGATATCTGCTAACGCTATATTTGAACACATCAGGCTCATGTCAGACTCACAAGCTTGTGAGGAAATTCCTCGATTGCCATTTGTTTGAGATACTTATCAAGTTGAAATTCCACTGAAGAGTTTTGTTGAGGGCGGCTTGGTGATTTTTATCTGTTTATTTTTTCACTTTTTCTGTTTGATTGTAGTTTCATGTGAAGCTTTAATGACAGAGCCAGCAGTAACTGTCACTGATAAGGACTTATTTGTTTGGGGAGCTCTCCTGGGTGATTTTAATTCTGTGCGTGTTTGTTTGTTTTGATGGAAGCTAGCTTAATGCTGCGTCTTGCTTTTATGTTTAGAGCATCGCTCCCTGTTACACTCTTAAAAATAAAGGTGCTTCACGATGCCATAGAAGAACCTTTTTGTCTAAATGGTTCTATAAAGAACTTTTAACATCTGAAGAACCTTTCTGTTTCACAAAAGGTTCTTTGTGGTGAAAGAAGGTTCTTCAGATTATAAAAAGGTAAGCAAGAGATGGTTCTTTAAAGAACCTTTGACTGAATGGTTCTTCTATGGCATCGCTTGAAGAACCTTTTGAAGCATAATTTGTGCCACTGTTGTTGAAATAACTTATTTTTCCCATAATAAAATGTCCTAATTGAAAATGTATGGTGTTTAGCACGTTTAGTTAAATTTTTTTTAAAAATTTTGCTAAATAGAAAAGCTATACTAATTTGACATTTAACATATAAGCCATTCATACCTCTGGTTATATATAAATAGTTGCATGATGCCCCTGAGTTGACCACCATGACCCATCCTCAGTTGAGAGAAGGGATGTTATACTGCACACAGGAAACCAAATGCGCTCATAAACTCAGGTAGAAGACATGTTCAGACATCACCTCGGTATCGGTATGTGTCATTTCACCTGCTCTCTGCCCCAGCTTGTCTGTTTTAACACAGTAATTCACTTACTTATTAACTTGGACGTATATATGCCGTATAGAGCAACCAAGAGGTGCATTTTGCACTCTCATTATGCATTATGTTGTGTTTTCTGAATGACAGAAGAGAGAATAAACATAAATAATATTTCCAGTAGATAAATAATTAGGCTACTCATGTTACTATATGTTTGTGTAGAGATTATGCTTGTTGGTTTGATTTAGACTCGGCTTAAGTTGATATTAGTTTTGTGTTCTTTTAGCTGTAGGCTAAATGAGTGGATGATGTTGTCCACTCAAAAAAAAAACAACCAACACTTCAACCAACACTTGGGTTAAATGTTTAACCCAACCTTCTGGACAGTAACCCAACCGCTGGGTCAAAACAACCCAATAGCTGGGTTTGTCCATATTTTACCCAGTGCATGTATTTTTTAGACTATAGTATTTGTTGAGAAGAGATCTGTGCTCTTAATTCAGACTCTGGCTCTTGTTCTCCATGAGGATGCTGGGAGATTTCCATTCCTCTGAGTGTCATGCTTGTCATTTAGAAGGCCGTTTAACTTGTTTATGATGTGCTGTATTACACACACACACACACACACAATTATGTGTGTAAATGGGGATATACCTTCATCTTTTTTTTTTTTTTTTTTTTGCGTTTAAATATTTTAATTTAATATTTTTTTTTATATTTTTTTTATTACAGACTAAATACATTTTAAATATATTAAAATATATTTGGGTCATTCCGTGTAAAATCAACCAAATTTCAAAAACGTCCTCAGCTCACATTTTTGATTTTGCTATTATGTTTTTCTGAATGTTTTTCCCCCACAATGCTTGCATTGCTGTAATTCCAGAAGTATTAAAGGGGTCATATGATGCGATTTCATGTTTTCCTTTCTCTTTGGAGTGTTAGAAGCTGATTGTGCATAGATAAGATCCCTGAAGTTGCAAAGACTAAAGACTCAAACCCAAAGAGATATTCTTTATCAAAGTTAAGACTCTGCCACGCCCCCCTAAAACGGCTCGTTCTAACACGCCCCTACATATCTACCTCACTTTGTGGGAATATTTGCATAATGCGCCCAAATGTGCACGCAAAGAAAGAAGGCGTGGTTTCAGTAACTGCAGTTAGTGTTGAAGCAGCCATGTCAGAGAGACGCTTCTAGGCGAAAGCAAAAGCACTTTATTTGGCCTTCCGGAAGTAGATACATTTAGGAATCTTTAAGATCACTTACAACAGAACAGCAATGCATTTCATGAACCTAGGAGAGGAGGTAATTCTGACTTTGCTGGTTTTGTTATTAGTTTAAGTATTTGCTATTGACTGTTCAAATGCGGAGTTTTTGCGCATCGTGTGTGTGCGTGTGTGAGAGAGAGAGAGAGAGAGACAGACAGCGTCACATTACAGTAGAGTCAGCTGTCTTAACCACGGCTTGTGTACTGCATCATTACTGTGTCTGTCACGCGACTCTGTTCCCCTTTCGGGCTTGAACTGATGGTAAAACCAATGACATTATTTACTTGCGATTATGGTAAGGGGCATTACATTTCCGATGCGTGATTGCGGTGTTCGGCCAATCACAATGCACTGGGTCAGCTGGCCTATCAGAGCAGACTGCGCTTGTCGGAAGGAGGGACTTTGTAGAAAGCAAAGCATTTGAGAGGCGGGGCATAGAGGACCTACAATAATGTACAGTATTTAAAAATGTATGTGGTTTTTGAACATTAAAGCATGTCAACATATTTTGTTACACCAAATACACAAAATAATGATCTTTAAAAAAGCATCATAAGACCCCTTTAAAGATCTCTATGTATCCTTTTAGATTTTTGTTTTTAACTTTTCTTTTGGTGTCCTTATTTTAAAGGCAATATAATCTTAATTTCCAGAGACATTGGGATCACTTTGCATACAGCGGATACTTTTTTATTTTAAAGTGAAACAGCTGTATATTTATATGAATATTTGTATAGTCCAGTGTTATTTTTTAGTATTGTTTATAAACTATTATAATATTTATTAATAATTAGATTTTTATATAGTAGCTTCTATTTTTCTATTTTTAGTTTTATTTTAGTTTCAGTAATTTTAGATGCTTTTGCCATCTTTATTGCTTTTATATTTCTGCTAAGCTTTAACAAGCTTTTTTCTATTTTTGTTTGTAAATTTATTAAACTTATTTAGTTCAATTTTTCAAGTTTTTTTTAATTAAAAATGTTCAGCTTTTTTGTATTACTATAATTTTTTTTTATTAATTTTAGTTAACAATAGCAACACTGATGTATTCTATATTACAACCTTTAGTTTTGGTTCTATCATTTGATTGATGACAGTGAATAGTGTATCTTATATACAGTAGCTGTGTGTGAAACACACACACATGCATCCCTGCTATCAGTAAACACAGCAGTGGTAGTAAGATTCCCCTGGACCAGACACACAAGCATTGCTGTTCACCTCATTTATCTATTTTGTTAATTACCAACGTTTGACTCCACAATCTCAAACTGCTGTACGTTGATGTGTGCTATATAATTAAAACCCTGTATTGATTAATCTTATTCACCCTATTTTGTCTGTCGATAGACTTTTTGTATCTCCTTTGATCCTTTCGACCAAAGGGCCTCATCTATTCATTTACCATGGAGACTACACTGACCACAACTAACACCGTTGCTGGGCAGTTTCTCTGTATTGCATTTGAGTAAGAGAGAGAGAGAGTGTGTGTGTGTGTGTGTGTGTGTGTTTTGGGTGAGAATTGAAATACGGCAGGGAGATGCCAAAGAGTGCAGGAATGTTGTAGGGTGGAGGAATGGAACAGAGACAGGCGGACAGAGAAAGAAAACTGGTATCTGGACACTGGCTCAGTCTGGTGCCACGAGATGCCAGCAGTCTTAGTGGCGGTGGTGGGGGGATTCCAGGGGGCTTTATCACCTAATCTTTCTCTAATTAGTATATAGACTCCATTCTGTCTGTCTACAGACACAGAAATACCATAGACTCTAGTCAAATACTGGACAAATAAGATAATACTGAGTCATTGAGTCAAGTGCTATCAGTTTAGATGTATGATGATGAATAATACGCAATTAATCCCCAGTGTCCCTTTCTGCCTATGCCATGATTAATACTTCTTCTGTCTTCCAGGCAGTCCCTGTGAAGCTGTCTCTGGATGCTCTGCTGCAAATGTCCAGTGTGCAGGTGGAAGACACCATGAAAAGACTGGGCTCTAGCAGTGAGGAGTGTTCCCGCATCACCGCTGCCCTCTCCTGTCTCAAGAGCGCTACTGACACAGGTGACTGCTGACTCCTTGCTCCTTACACTCTTCAAAAACACTAGGACTTCCTGCTCTAGGCTCAGAATCTAGCTGTTGGCCATTTTAGTATTTTAGAATAAAGTCTACGATAATGTAAGTAAAAAAAAAACAAAGTAGACAAATTAGTAAAAAAAAAAAAACTTTTATTCAGCAAGGATGCATTTTATAATGTCTTTTATTATTTTACAAAATATTTTTATTTCAAATAAATACTGTTCTTTTGTGCTTTCTATCCAGAGAAACCTGAAGTGTCAATGTTTCCACAAAAATAATTAGAGGTAAAACTGTTTTCAATATAAGTCTTAAAAAAATAAAAATAAAATCTTTCTTGAGCACCACATCAGAATATTATAATGATTTCAGACGGATCATGTGATACCAGAGACTGAAATAAAGCTGAAAATTCAACTTTGCCATTACATGAATAAATTGCATTTTAATATGTAGTAAAATGCATGATGATAAGATACTTATGAATTGATATTTGACAATACCATATATGGTGGCACACAAAATTTTCTAGACCATCACCAATGGCAGCTAGATTTTAAATTATTATCGCAAAAGTTTCATTTTGATCACATTTGTGAACAACGGTTGTTATTAAAGTTAAAATACTTTTCATTAATTTAATTTAATATAATAAAACAAACTAAAATAAAAATAAATATTGCCTTGGCAACTAACTAAAATTCTAAAACTTAAATAAAAGTCAATTAAAACTAAATAAAAATATAGAAAATGAATAGAAATTACATGCACAAAATAACTTAAATTAAAACTAAAAATATTAAAATGAAGCTCATTCAAAATAGTATTAAATACTATAAAATGATATAAATAACACTAAAATGACACTGGTAAGCAATCACTTTAATTAAGGTCTGGAGCCGTGCATTGATCATCCACCTTCTTCTGAATTGTCTCTCACTCTTTCTGTTTTAGGTGCAGTACTTAAGAAAGAGGGCATCCCGTGGATAGCAGAACCCGCTCACCGTGACAGTACCTCTGTTGACCCGCTGTCTTGTTCTATGCGTGCACATCAGTCTTACAGTCCCAGCCCAACCAGCTGGCCCCCTTCTTCTGCTTTGCCTGCCCCTCGTTCCTGTGTCTCTGTTTCTGCTCTACCCTCAACAGACTTCCCTACAATCGTCCACCCTCAGTGTGATGGGCTGACGGACCCTTTTTCATCCTCCCCGCAGCTGAACCGCTGCACCCCCAGGCTGCTGTCCGCCCCTCCAGTCACACCGCCACCGAGAAGGTATGGCAAACTAAAGCCCCCACGAACTCCACCACCTCCATCCCATAAGCTGCTAAATCTCCTGCCCAACATCACCCTCACACGCAGCAAGAGCCAGAGCCAACTGGCCAACCGGATCGATGACCCTACACCCAAGAAGTAAGTTCAGCACTGAGTAATATTTTATTTATGGATATATTACTTCATGGCATGATGATCTCTTCTCAGAGTTTGCTTCAAAAATGTTTATTTTGACAGCTGAATGATGTCAAATGTCAAGTATGACGGTATTGATTTATGTGAGTCTGCTGCTGGGCTTTATGGTGTCTTTAAAAGGGACTGCCTAAATTGAAGCAAGTTTTGCTAATTTACCATTGCAAATATTTGACTGCAAACTAGATATGCATTTCAGAAATTGCTGAAGGAAGCACTGGTTTTGTGTAAATGATATGCCATATCAGACCTGCTTTTGTTTTTGTAATAACAAAAAAGTGTCCAGTAATAAATCAGCTACAAACAGAAATTCACACAAAGTTATTCTGTGGCTATAAATACAAAGAACAAACAAAGAAAACTGACCAATCACAATTCAGCATACGGATACACTACTGTTCAAAAGTTTTGCTCCTGTAAATAATTTTTTTTTTAAGTCTCTTATGTTCACCAAGACTGCATTTATTTTATCAAAAATATAATAAAGCAGTAATATTGTGAAATATTATTGCAATTTAAGATAACTGTTTCCCATTTTAATATATTAAAAAATGTAATTTATTCCTGTGATGCAAAGTTTAATTTTCAGCAGCTATTACCCCAGTCTTCAGTGTCACATGACCCTTCAGAAATCATTCTAATAAGCTGATTTGCTGCTCAAGAAACATTTCTGATTCTTTTCAATGTTGAAAAACATTTTTACTGTATAATATTTTTGTGGAAACCGTGATAAATATCTATTCAGCATTCTTTGATCAAAAGAATGCCATTTATTTAAAACTAGAAATCTTTTGTAACATTAGAAATTAGAAAAATAAAAATAAAGTACTGACACCAAACTTTCAAAAGGTAGTGTATATGCAAGAAAGAAAACCAATTTCTATTCAGTATATAAATATAATGAAGCTGTCATCGCTATCTGTAACCAAAATACATCTGTTTGACCATTAGCCTGTGTTATGTATTGTTTTTTTTCCTTCCTGATGCAACCGAATACTATAAACATGATGTCAGATTCTCAGAAACACTTACCACATGATAAAGTCATGCAGTAATGCACTGAGATGATGGGAATGGAATATATTCATCTGAAGGGTGTAGATAAAATCTGAAGCATAAGCGAGGCCTCTTCAAACCATGAGATTAGTGCCAGCGTTAACAGCAACATACAGAATTGAAACTGCACAGAAATATACTGTATGCTAACATTTCATTTTAAACTTGACTAAGAATTTTGACTAAGACCCTTTTACACTCATAATCACAATTTCATAGTTTGACATGAATATTCTGTCATCGTATGTAGTATTAATATTAGTCACCCTCATGTTGCCTCAAACCTGACTTTGATTCCTCAATGCTGGTTGGATTTTTTCACAGTTACAATGAATTGCACCTGAGATTTCAAATTAAAAAAATTATGCAAATGTACCATTAGATATCATAAATGGTATCCATATGATTTATGCATTTTATTCCAAGTCTTCAAAATCCATATGACATATCTGTGTGAGGAACAAACTGAGATTTATAATCTTCCTTTTCCACTGTGACTTAATGAATCTATCAGAGATTTAAAAAAATGAGTGCTGTCAAACGATTAATCACGATTAATCGCATCCAAAATAAGTTTTTATTTACATAATATATATGTGTGTGCTGTGTATACTTATTATGTATATATAAATACAAACACATGCATGTGTATATATATATATAAGAAAAATGTTGTTTATATATTAGATATATTTATATAGCCTATAATATAAAATACAATAATATAAATAAATAAATGTATATGCATGTAAATATTTCCAAAATATATACTGTATGTGTGTGTATTTATATATACAAAATAAATATACACAGTTCACATACATATATTATGTAAACAAAAACTTTTATTTTTGATGCGATTAAACGCTATTAATCGTTTGACAGCACTACAAAAATTATAAATTTACAGTTTCCACAAAGCTATTGAATCATTTAAGATTTTTAAAAAAATATATCAATAAAGTCATATGGAACACTTTTTTTGATACTTTCATGGTGTTTTTTTTTATTTTTTGCATTTTGGTATTTTGACAGCCCCTTTCCTCATTCAGTTTAATTATACTAAGAAAATTGAACAGGATGTTTAAAAAAAAAATTTGACCATTTGTGTTCCACAGAAGAAATAAAGTCCTACAGGGTTGAAACGGGAAATAAATAATGATAACATGTTGTATCTTTGCCACATTGCATGTAAAATTAGTAGGATGCTGACTTTATAAATGCAGAGGATTTTAGTTATACATTGCACAACATTTGCTACTCGTAACAACATGTTGCCTAACTCAGCAAAAATTTGGAACGAATTGTAGCCCTGCAGCATAAATAAAGATATCCTTCTTAGACAAAATGTTCTACATATTCTTTTAGCTCCCACTGTTCATATGTGTACCATACTGTGTTGACTTGCCCAGTGTGTGTTCGGTCTGTGGGAGTGGACTGCTGCAACATCTGAGATCACTGATGGCCCAGTTCCAGGCAGGTTTTAGAGAGCAGTTCAACACTCCCGTCCTTCCGCCCCTTCACGTAGCCCCAGTGTTTCCCGTTAGCACAAGGCCGAGGTCAGACCCCTTCTCAGACTCGCTGGCATCCAGTGCTTGATCATTCCCGCTCCTCTGAGCCAATAAACGTCCACAGGATTGGACCTCCTCCTCATAATATGTGTGTGAATTGAAGTCCACCGCAAAAAAACTCCCTGCCTGTGAAGCTGCACGCCTGCATTTGCACCACATTTTTTAAATATTTGTGGTGGACAAGCTGCAGATGTGTGTTTATTTAAACTACTATAGAAAGATTTCTTGCTGGGAGGTGTAGAATGAGTCATTATGAGAGCTTTCTGGGAATTATAATTGGCTACATTTTAATAATTCCAATGAATGTTTGCAGGTGATGAGTCTTAAGGATTTTAGGGTACATTGTAAAATGCTTTTCATATTAAAAGTTCATATTAAATAGTTCTGCAGTGTAAAAATTATTGTTTTATGTTTAAATGTTCCATTCATGTAGTATCTTGGGTAATATGAGGTCATAAAAGCTGAATGCCAAATTAATTTTTAATAATGAAATTGAATTGTTATTATAATGATAACTGTTTATTGTTTTAAATATTTATTTTAATTATTCATTATTTGATCATTTAATTTACAAAAACACCAAAATGCTATTTAAATGGTGTATAGCATATCACACTAATGTGACTTGACTTGTGCCCTTTTGCCTGCAGGAGCGGGAAGAAAAACAAGCCGCTTCTGAATGTGCAGGTAAATGGTGGCGGAAACGGCTGGGAAGACTCGCCCTCACGGTCACCAATGTTGTCTGTCCGTTCCCCCTGCATCCTACCAAACACCCCCAGTCACCTGGGAGATCCCACGGGTGTAAGAAGTAAGTGCTTTTCAGTAAGCGTCAAGTTTGTGTGTTCCAAAACCTAGTGAGCTCCCTACCTAGATAATTTCATACTGTCATCATACTGTAGGTGCACTTCAGATGAGGCTACAGTAAGACATCTGCGTTATGTTTGCTCATGAAATATGTTGATTTGGCTAAAGGCAGATTTACATATACTGTTCATTCCCAGAATGCACTGCAGTGAAAAATTCATCCAGTCAACTAAAGCTTTAGATGCCAACACTAAACTCAATTTTAATCCATTTTGAGTACAATCTATTTTTCTTTCACATCATATAGATAATGTTGCATCCCACGGAAGCTCTCCGCTAATCATGAGGAAGGATATTGGTCTGGATGTCACACACAGGTACTGACCATTGAACTTTTGCTTGGTTTCATTCTTACATCCGTGTTTGTCTTTCAACTTCCAACACAACTGACCCTGGCTTTCTTATTGTGCCTCCTTAAAGGTTTTCCACCAAGTCCTGGTTGTCTCAGACGTGTCAGGTGTGCAAGAAGAACATGATGTTTGGTGTTAAATGCAAACATTGCAAGTAAGCAAACACAGGATTTTTTTTAGGAAAACCACATCTGATTTCCCAGTATCTTCCTGCTAACGTTTGCTTCCATCTCTTTTAGGGTGAAGTGCCACAATAAATGTACCAAAGAGGCCCCTAAGTGCAGGATTTCATTTGCTCAGTGTAAGATTTTTTTTGTAAAAGATGTAGTATACTGTATATTCAGACCGCTTTGCAGATGATCTAAAGTTTTTTTTTTTTTTCCAGTTCCAAACAAGATCAGAAGAACAGAGTCAGTACCGTCAGATATCAATAACCAGGTTGATCGACCGGCAGAGTCTCAGCAGTACGGAACATTACCGAAAGCAATAAACAAAAAGGCATGTAGCAAACCACACAAACAAGGAAGTTGAGAGTCACACCATACTAACATACATACTAACTATATATATATATATATATATATATATATATATATATATAGAGGGGTGTGAAAGAGTGTGCCCCCCCTCTCT